GGCAGTTGCCTAGGTAGGTCCAGGTGAAACCTGAAGACCCTAATTTTTAAAAGCTCCCTAAACAATTCCAGTGAGTGACCAGGTTTGGGAGCACTGATCTAATCAAGACCCTGAATTACTGGGTATCATCAGTACTCAGATGCCACTGACTGTAAGATCCTGTGTTAATTTAGGAACAGCTTTTTTGTGTGTGTGCCCAATATGATCTGCAGGAAAGGAACAGTTTTTGAAGGGACAAGGTAGGTAGAGAAAAACTACATTAATTGCACTAAAACTCTTTTTGCTACATGAAAATAATAATCACATATCCTTGCAATTACGTACCGTTTTCTTTCTCAGGACCACATTCAAAGCTTTAGCCTAAGTCCTCTTTGTTCCCGGAGTCTAAAGACTGCCCTGATTCTCTGGCAATAATGCACAGCACTGTGGAAACAAGCTGCTCTTAGTAACCTGAGTGCATGATCTTGATCACTTGAAAGCTCTCAGGACTGAGTGAGTGATTCCAAAGCACACAAAAGAATATTAGCATTTTATCTGCATTTTCTATTTAGTCAAAATCAGTTCATCCATCCCCTCCCCTTAATTGGATCACTCATTACTGGGTGTTTTTAATAGCTCTTCTTCAAAGTTGGCTGGAGGCTTTTTACAGAGTAATCCAATGCATTTGGATACCATTGCAAAGCATATACTGGTTACCATGGTTACAATAACCTATTCTAGCTTTGGACACTCTAGCTTTGGCCATCTGAGAGGACTGATAATTCCCCGCCCTTTACATTGCTTTGCTTTGCAAACCCAAAGATACTGTTTCAGTGCTGCACTGTGGTTGTAAGCCTTTCTTTTTGAAAATTTCATTTTTTCAGTCTTAATGAAAATTGATAATCTGAATTCAAGTTAAAATTCAGCCACATATGGGTTCCTCCAAAGTAATTTACCTGCCTGAGATGACAATGAGATAACAGATGCCTTGCCTGCGTGAATGAGTTTGCATATGTGCAGACAATGGCAACTATGCTACACGTTTTCTTCTTTCTGGTAGCTGGCAAATTTCTTTTGCTATCAAATATAACAGCCAAACGTGGATACAAGTGATACCTTAGTTCATAGTAAGAGTCAAGGTAAAGAATGTCTTAAAAGAAGATACTACTTCCAACCTTCTATGGAAACCACTCTTCTAAAAGCCACTGATAACCCAATTCATTCATTCATAGACGTTTTTCAAGTGCTTACTAGCTGCCAAGTATTGCACTAGGTGCTGGAGATCCATAGAATAATAATAATAACAATAGGAAATACATACTGCCTGGTATATGCAAGCAATGTTTTTCAAACTATACATAGCTAACTATACATAGCAATTGATTATTGTATGTCACATTAATCAATTTAGTGCTTCACAATCATCATTTAAAAGAATAGAAGAGAACTGGATAGGAAATAGCATGCTTCACTCCTATTAAGGGTAAGGGATTGTTTTGTGAAACTTTCATTTTATACACACACTCACACATCTATGTGCTCACATGTATGTGGTCACAATATATTAACATGTTTTTCCTATTCTGGTCAACACATTTTTAAAACCAATGATCTAGAACATTATTACAGAAATTGTGAATATAAATATTTTCAACTTCTCAAACCCATACGCATTTTATAAGAAAATAAAATTATAGGCCAATATTTCTCAAAAACACAGAAAAATCTTTTCAAATATTAATAATAGCAAATCAAATCCAGCAATATGTAAAAAGAACAATGTATCATGACCAAATGGAGTTTATTCTAGAAATGAAAGGTGGCCTTACTATTTGAAAAGCAATTAATATAATTCATCACATTAAAAAATAAAAGAATAGTATGATTATCTAAATAGATGCAGAAAAGGCATTTAATAAATTTCAATATCCATTCTTGATAAAATTTCTCAGCAAAGTAGAGGTAGAAGAAAATTTCCATACTCTGATAAAGGACATCTACAAAGAAACAAACAAAAATAAACAACAAAAGTCTTATAGCTAACACCATATTCACTAGGTAAACAAGGCAAATATATACACTTTCACTATTTCTATTCAACATTGTATCGATGGTCTTAGTTTAGAGAGAAAGAAATAAAACTATCTTTACTCACAGATGAAATGCTTTGGCATAGAGAAAATCCAAAGGATTATATTAATATATATTAAGTCATTTAATTCTCACACCAACCCTTTAGGTAGATGTTTTCTAAGTATTTTCTCTTCTTTAAATGTTTGAAAGACTTCACTAGGGAAGTTTGTTGCTGGAATTTTCTTTGTGAGAAAGTATTTAATTATAGATTCAATTTCTTTAACAGATATAAGGTTATTCCAAGTTTTATATTTTCTCTTATATATGTAAGTTTTAGTATATTGCGTTTGGGGAAAATTTTTCCATTTCATCCACATTTTCAAATTTGTTTCCATAAATTTATCCATAATATCTTATCATCTTTTGTAATATCTGTGGAATCTGTATTAATTTCTTCCCTCTTACTCCTGATATTTGTATTTTCTCTTTTTTCTTGTCCAGTCTTGCTAAGATTTATAATTTATTAATAGTTTTCAAAAATCCAACTTTTGATCTTACTGATTTTCTCTATTATATGCATGCTTTCTATTTCATTACTTTCTATTTTTATCTTTATTTCCTTCCACTTCACCTTCTTATTTATTTGCTGTTCTTTTTGAGATAGAAGCTTAGATTATTTATTCTCAACTTTCCTCTTTTTTAATATTTGCATTTAAGGCTATAAATTTCCCTCTAAATAATAGTTTGGCTGTACTTCATAAATTTTGATAGGTAAGGCACAACTCAGTGTTTGTTCTGCTTAATTTGGATAGCTTTTTTTCTTTCTTATTTTTGTTTTGAGGAGTTCAGAATAGGCAGTGTGTTATTGCAAACATTAGAGCAATATTCACATAGTTCCACAAATCATTTTTCCTTATAATATACCTAACATAACATCTTTTGGCATTGGGTCTTGCATGGTTTTGATCAGAAGAGTATGTTTTGAATATTCCCTTCTTCTATACCATTCATGAGAAACAGTATCTCAAACTCTTTTTAAAATATGGACTATTAAGTGTTATTTGTTCTTAACCTCTCTGTATTTGGTCAAAGGAGGAAGTGACAATGATCCCCTTTTGTCTTAATAAATAAAACTCAAAAGTATTTAAACTTTCCAGAAAATGGAAATGCTAAGTATTATAACCAGGGCAACAATTAAGACAACCAATCAGAATTAAAGATTTTGTACATATAAAAATTTACTTTCACAGCAGCAATTTCTGAAATCCAGTTACATTTGCAAGAACACCTTTCTGATGAACACCAGAATCTGTTTTCCCAGAAGTGTGGCGGAAAACACGACGTTTTCTTCTTTTCTTCCTGAGATATTTTTCACCTGTGGTTTGAAGGGCCTGCAGTTTCATGGCCAAGCATGGAATTCCATTAGCGCTGAGAGAGAAGGGCAGGCCCAGGAGACTTTCACTTGCAATGTGAAAATGGGGCAGAATAAGATAATTAGCAAATGGAATATGAGGCTGGCAATGTTTTGCTTCTATGATTCTGAGTCATTTTATCATGTATGGAAGTCCCCTTAAAGATTAATTTTACCTCCTGATGCAGACATTACTTAACTCACAGCACACAGTGGGATGAAAACTGGCCTAGTTAATTGCAGTACCAGCTTTTCAGGAGGGAGCCAGAAGTGGTCTTGGTTGTTGAAAATGAGAAAATTTGCCTCAGTAGTCTTAACGTTTTGTATGGCCCTTGACTCAGCAATTCTATATCTAAGGATTGTTCTAAGGAAATAACTTTTTAAATGTGCGAAGATTTAACTATAAGTCTCCATGATAATGGTGCTTATAATTCTATAAAAACTGCAAGAAGCCTAAGTGTTCTCAACTAGGTAATATAAGTTTATTATATTAGAATATGGTAGAGCCAAAAAATGATGCTGATGATGAATATTTCATGATATGGAAAAGCATTCATGCTGTATTTTAAGTTAAAATATTATATATGAGATAATCAGTTTTTATCTTTTTAAAAAGAGCGTATGGTATTGTTAACTGAAATAACACGATTCATAATTTGGAAAGGAGAGCTTCATTTCTCATAAGGGTTGCAGGCTGTGTGTGCCCATTCCGACAGGCTGGGAAGCCAAGCCCTGGCCAGAAGCCAGGAACACATGCTTCAAGACAGGGACAATGGGAATAGGAATTTATACTGAGTGGGATGGCCAAGTATACCTATTACCAAGCTATGTGAGGAATCATGAATATTTATGAAAATAGAAACACACGCCTGAGCGATTGAGCTTTCTGCCTTTCATGGGGTCCTTGTTCAGAAATGGCCATCCTCCATGTCAAAAAGGTGAAGCAAGGACATGAAAACCCTCTCTGCACATGCTCCATAGACTGGTTAAACCCACTTTGTGGTTGGTGGCCTCCTAGCAGGAAAGAATGCTGGTCTGGATAGGGAGATTGGTTTCTGTTTAGCCCTTAGGACAAAAGCCTGATGGCCATTAGCAAGGGAGGGGGTATAATGATGCATGTCTGACCTCCTACCCCATCATGGCTGGGAACTTAGTTTTAAGTTTTCTCTTGGATCCCCTTGGCCAAGAGGAAGTCCATTCAGTCAGTGGGGGGCTTAGGATTTTCTTTTAGTTCACACTAATATTTAATGCATTGATAAAAGACCAGAAGTATAAATACCAAATATTGATAGTGGTTATCTCTTGGAGTGGGGATTATAAGTGATTTTCTTTTCTTTTAGCTTATCTACAGTTTAAAAGAACTTAAAAAAAAATCCATGCCTTATCATTGTAATACTGAAAAACAGAAGCTTTGTAAATTGCTTTAAAACAATTGAGAGATAAATGAATATGAACCCTTCCTGTGAAAATATCTGACCAGCCTGATATCTGACTTTTGAGCAGCTTGTTTTTCTTTTCTCCCCTGCCTCCTCTGAAGGTAAATCTTGCTTCTCCAAGACTTCCCGGAACTGGGAACTGACTGAGGTCAGGGCAACAGTCACAACAGTAACCATGACAGAGAGCCCTGACCAGGGGACATCTTTCATAGTGATGGCTACCTGGCATCTTTTGACCAGCCGTCTCAGGCTTAGGGGAAATTCCCACCTTGCAAATCTGTTTCACAAATGAAGAAGTCAAAATTCCAGGCTCCTTCGTGAATGGCAAGCAGGGCTGGTAGCAATCAGTTGCTGTGTGCACAACCTCACAGGAGCGACACGAGGCCACAGGCTCTGCAGGACACGTCTGTATCGCTGGTGTGGGTGAGTGCAGAGGCGTCTGGATGGGAGGAAGCAGTGGTTGCAAGCACAAGTGACATTGGCTTCACTTCCATGCTCTAAACCTTGCCTGAGAACTGCTCCCGTGGCCCACCGTAACCCAAAATGTAGAGCAGAAGGAATTCTGGCAAATGTAGTTCTACCGAGTAGATGGAGCCTTGCGGGGGATTTGCTGGTCACAGGCCAGGAGCCACAGAGGGCAGGAGGGAAGGGTTTGGGAGGGAAGCTACGGTGTTAGGTTAGGTAGTGTTCTGAGCAAGTGGGGAAAGAACCCCTGGGTATGAAAGACTGGTGACAAAGGAGGCTTAGACTCTGACAGTGACTGATATAAACACACATGTGAGATAGGGTCGGTCTTGGTGGTCTCTAAGTAGAAAGGTCAAGTGTTTTGTCTTGAGAACTTAATTTGTGTTATAGGGCATGTGGGGCAAGGACTTCCTCCTGCATTCAGGGAGGTGGCTGTAACCTGGCAAGGGGTGGGCAAGGAATGGGGCACTTCTCTGAGAGCAGGTGGAGGTCTCAGAGTATTCTCCCCAGGAAGAGCACCATGTAATTTAGAGGCAAGATTCAACACCTCGCCCTTTATGACATAAGAGAATTAGAGGTATCCTAAAAGGCCAAGAAAGGGTATCTGTTTAGAATACTTCAGTTGCCCCATAAAATGGCATTGCGTGTAGCCATTAGAAGTGATACCATGAGAGAATATTTTAAAATAAAAGAATAAGGGTCCCAGGAATAATAAGGTGGTGGTGGCAGCACAGCTTTTCAGTCTCTCAAAATATCCACATAAAAGCAGACAGAGCAACTGGAGAGTAAAACCAACAGCCATGAACAATATCTACAACAAAGCTAGGGGATACGATATTGCCACAAACCTCAAAACACCAGTGGGCAGGGACAAACCACAGACTTGTCCATAGTAGCATCTGTACAGGAAGAAAAAGGCAGAAGCAAAAGGTAGCATCTGACAGACTGGAGAACAGAAGAAACCCAAAATGAATTTGAGAACAATAGCTGAACTTGGGGAAGGATCTTGCCCAATCTAGTAGCAGGTGGGAGGCAGTAGCCTGTGGTCAGGACTGAGGGGCTGGGCAGTCTAGACCTTAGGAACCCGCACTGTTCACTAGAGCTCCCTTCTGGAAGGGGCCCCACTGTCAGGATAAATTGTTAGAAGTGAAGTCAAAATTGAGCAGGACAGGCACAACAAGGATGAAGGAAAGAGACAACCCAGAACCAAGTGGGAGGGTAACAATACTGCATTATACTGTAGCTATAGCACAGTTAATAATACTGTATTATGCAATTGAAATTTGTCAAGAGGGTAGTGTTCTCACCACCCTCTCTGCCTCAAAACAGATAACTATGTAAAGTTATGGAAGTATTAACTAAATTCGATTAATATTGATCTTTCACAATGTGTCCATATATCAAAACATCAAGTCATACATCTAAAATATATATAATTTCTATTTGTTAATTATATATCAGTAAAGCTGAAAATGTAGTGAATCTATATATTTTGTTGTTAAAGACACAAGATCCTGAATAGTGTTTATCTGTCTAAAAAAACAATAGATTGTGAACATTTTCTCTTGTTTTTGTGGAACAAACACACACATACATCATAAAACAGATGCAGGGAACAGCAGGAAGCAAGCTGCCTGTTTTTCAACATGCACAAAAATAACAGAAAGAGAGTAAATTGTGGATTTAGAAAGGATTTCCTGAATCCTTTCCTTACTCCAAAAGTTCAGAAAAACTAATTCCACATAAAAAGGAGCTACAGGAAAGGATAAAGATCAAATCCCACACAAAGTTATTATAAGGAAAAAAGAAAACAAGGAGCAGAGTAATATCCCTGCAGGTGAGAAAAGCATGCTGTGGATGTGCCCACAGAATAGAATAAAAGTATATTCTATTATTTCAGAACAAGATAAAAAGCATTAAGAAAATGATATAACACATGATAGAAAAATAAATCAGAATTAGAAAAACTCAGAAATGAGATGACAGAATATAGGAAAGAATTAGAAATAAAAGGAAAAAAGCAAATATAGAAATGAAGAGTATATCAGAAGAAATACAAGAGTGAATAAACAATAAACAGAAAAATATAAGGTAGAAAAGAATAAAATTCAAAAAGATAAAAAATAAAAAGGATTTGAGAAAAAGTGACAAATATTGAAGACAAACAAAAAACAGTGAGGTTAATGAGTCCCTGAAGAAGAAAACCAAAGCAAGGAAACAGAACATATACTAAAAACTGTAATTCAAGACAACTTTCCTGAAATAAATAAAAACTTGGAGTAAAAATGAAACAGCACATCATGTACACCATAATCATAATGGTATGGAAACACTGAGATAAATTCTAGTAAATTTGTTGGACTTAATGGAAAAGAAAGCCATTTTTGAGCATCTAGAAAAGAAAAAGAACCTGTAACTTTTAAGGTAAATAAAACTAGATTATCATCAGACTTTTTGACACCAATTATTATGCTAGAAGAAAATGGAAGAAGATATGTGTAGTCTTGACAATTTCTTGAAAATTTAATATCCCTTTTAAAGTCTCTTTCAATTTATAGGTTCCTCCTTCACCCTTTCATTTCTTTATAGTTATCTGTTGAAGAACCTGGTCTCTGTGGCCAGAAGAGTTTCTCACAGTCTGGGTTTTGATGATTAAACATTCATGGTGCAATTCACTATGCTGTCTGTCCTTTGTATTTCCTGCCAATTGGCAGCTCCATCCAGAGACTGGATTAGAATCAGGTTCAATTCCTCTGGCAAGATTCTAGGCTGTGTTTGGCCAGGGAGGAATGAGATTTCTATTTGTCTCTCTTATGTGTCTTGTCAACCACTGCTGCTTAATGACCACCATTCTTTGTGAGTTGCAAAACATGACATTCCAGTTCCAAAATTTCTTTTCTATTTATTGGTTGTAATACTTTTAGAAAGAGAGAGTACTTTTCATCTACTATTTGGTTACCTGGGGGTCTAGTTTATTAGAGAAAGGCAGGAAAAGTGCTTCATTCTTTCCTTCTACTTTACTAGTTTCCAATTTAATGAATTGGTTCCTCATCATCCTCTAAAGGATAGGAAGTCTTTTTAAAAAACATCATTATGAGCTCATAGATTCAAACATATTTGGTGGTTTTAATTTGTTGCAATTAACAGTATTGAAGCTTGCACTGTCTCATCTTTGATCAGTTGATGTCTCCTCACTCTGGCTCCTGAGTCCTTTAGGCGTGACCCTGCTAGTATTTGGGAGCTTCCTTACTGTCTGGTACTAGATGTTCTAGGTTCCTCCTATACATTTCCTACCCCAGAGCTGGAGTCCTTTATCCAAGAAGCTATGGTTTCTTTTAGTAAGAAATGGTAATTTAAGACTACTATTTGGGCTCTAGAGCTGCTCGTTGTTACTGGGCTCCTTATTGTCTTTTTGCCCGTTCAGTCAAGCTAAGAAAAAATATATAAAATACACACACACATATATTTCATAAATTCATAGTGATAACTTCCTATTTTAATGTAAGGCTAGAGCGTTTAATACTTAAGCTGTATCTATTACATCTGAATTTCCTTTCTTCCATATTGAGAATCATGGTTGAGACCCTGAACTAGGAACACATATTTGGGTGAAAAAACTATAAAGAAACACAAAGATGTGATTACCTTAAAAGTCAGGATAGTGGTAAATTATGAGGAGTAGGGAAGTTGTGATTAGGATGGAGCACAGAGAGAGCTGGCCAAGTTCTTCCTAACGTTATTTGCCTTATAATAATTCATTAAGCTATATGTTTTAATTATGCGGTTCCCCCCAACCTTATCTGCAGGAGATGCCTTCCAGACCCCCAGTGGATGCCTGAAAGTACAGATAGTACCCACCCATATACTGTGTTCTTGTGATCTGGTAACCAAGACGGCCACTAAGTGACTAATGGCAGGTAGTGTATAGAGTATGGATATGATGGACAAAGGGATGATTCAAGTCCTGGGTGGGACAGAGCAGGATGGATGGTGCAAGACTTAAAACTTATGAATTGTTTGTTTCTGGAATTTTCCATTTAATATTTTTTGACCACGGTTGACCAGGGGTAACTGAAACTGTGGAAAGTGAGATGGTGGATATGGGGGGAACTACTGTATCTATTTTTATTTTATAATAAAACATTAAAAAACAATACAGTGGTCAAAGGATACAAAATTTCAGTTAAACAAGATGAATAAATTCTAGAGATCTAATGTACAACCCTGGTGACTATAGTTAATGCTGTATTATGTACTTGAAATTTGCTAAGAGGATAGATCTTCAGTGTTCTCATCACCAAAAAAAAAAAAAAAAAGAAAAGAAAAGGTAACTGTGAAGTGATGGAAATGTTAACTAACCTGATTGTGTTGATCATTTTGCAATGTGTTAATATATGAATATCAAAACATCAAGTTGTGTACCTTAAATATGTACAGTTTCTATTTGCCAATTATACTTCAATAAAGCTGAAAAATGCAATGAATCTGTATATTTTATTATTAAAAATGCAAGACCCTGAACAGTGTTTATCTGTCTAAAAAATAGATTGTGAACATCTCCTGTTTATGTGGAAAAACACACACATTACAAAACAGTACATGCATAGTATTGATGACCTTTGTATTAGAAATTACAGGGTGATTTGAAAGGAACTGAACTTTCAAAATTATGTCACTCAGAGACTAGATTATACATGAATGTGAGATTTCCTGTGGAAATAGCTAAAGATCTCCTGTTGTATCTCCTTTTGCAGAAATGAAGGTGCACATTGAGGAAGCCATTTCAACCATTGGCAGAGATATGCTACAGAGAGTCTGAGATTAACCATCATGTGACACAAGAGGCACAGAGTGAACAACTGTAAGAGTATAGGAACAGCTGTGACAGTTTGTTTATAAATTGCTCTTGATTGTACATTTAAATATAGCCTATTCGACTGAGTAATACACTTTAATTTTAATTTTTTTTTAGTTTGAGACAAAGTCTCACTCTGTCACCCAGGCTGAAATGCAGTGTTGCAATCATAGCTCACTGTAACCTCAAACTTCTGAGCTCAAGCAATCGTTCCATCTCGGCCTCCCAAGTAGCTAGGACTAGAGGTGTGTGTCATCATGCCTGGCCAATTTTTAATTTTTTAATTTATTATAGAGATGGGGTTCTCACAATGTTGCCCAGGCTAACTCAAACTCTTGGCCTCAAGCTATCTTCTCTCCTCAGCCTCCCAAAGTGCTGGTATTACAGAAATGAGCCACCATGCCTGACATTTTTAAAAGTGTTTAGTTCTTTTTGAATTACCTTGCCTGTAGGCGTAAAATATAATAGGAAGATAATCAACAGAATGCTAACCATGGTTACATATAAGTGGTGGGAATAAGGTTTTGCTTTAATTATTTTCTTTTTACTTAGCTGAATTTCTAAAATTTCATCATGACATTTAAAGAAAAAAACTAAAAGGCATCAAAGAAACAAGAAAAAAAAAATGGTGCCAAAATTCTATATTTAAAATGTTGATGTGTTTTGCTGTCCTGGTGAATTTTTCCCAGTTTTGATTGTTTGGTTTTTGATGAGACACCTATATCCCCCACCTTGGACGATCTCTGGAGCCCCCAAAGTTTGAGCTTCTTTATTCTAATGAGTCAGCATTAAGGATGAGGTTCAGGAAAAGATGAAAAAAAAATGTGAATATTTCCCCACATCGCTATCAGAGTTCAGTCAGGGAAGCGCAACCACTAGAAGTGATATAGAAGGTGGAATTTATTATAGGGATTTAGCCTTATGCAGTGTGGGAGGGGGCTAAACAGCTAATACATACACAGAATCGATTCTGCATGTGGCTTGAGCCTGCGGTTAGTCGGTTAGTCGGGAAGGCAGCCAGGAAAGAAAGAGGTGAGTGAGATGAGAGCGATCCGGACCCAACTGGAACCTGCAAGGAGGAACTCAGACCCGCATCATCCTCTCCTGCCTCCGCAACTCCGACTTTGGTGAGGCCATGATGCCTGTGACCGGCCAGAGAAGCTGGGCACCCTTTGCCACAGAGATAAACATGTACCTGGCCCAAGAGGCAGAGAATCCCAAGGAGAAATTGAGCTGGAGCTGGAAGAGTTGGGGATATGGCAGCTGCCTCCCCCCAAGGTGGGCAGGCAGACCTGCAGCACCGTTCACCCACCTTTCTGTTGTACACGTGTCCCTGCTTCTCTGCAAGCTTCACCCAAGTGCCTCCCGTGGCCGGATGGACAAGGGAATTCTAGCTGCTCCAACATATCATTTTTTAATTTTAGGGCTCATTTAATTTTAGGGCTCTCAAGTATAAGAACTCTTTGCCTAGCCCTGGCTCTTGAATATTTTCTCAGATTTCTTTTTCTTAAATCTTTTATAGGTTTATATTTTACATTTAAATCCATCATCTATTGTGGGTTAACTTTTGCATAAGGCATGAGGCTTAGATTAAGGGTCACTGTTTTGCTGATGGATAGCCCAGTTGCCCCAGCACCCTTTGTTGAAGTGGCTATCTTTCCTCCAGAGAATTGTCAAAAAATAGTTGGGCATGTTTGTATTTGTGTGGGTCTCTTTCTGGGTTCTCCATTCTTCCATTGATCTCTCTATCTCTCTGTCAGTGCCACACATTCTTGATTACTGTAGCTAAATAAGAAATCTGCAAATTAGGTAGATGCATTACTCTCACTTCATTCTTCTTTGTCAAAATTATTTTTAGCTATTCTAGTTTCTTTATATTGCTGTAGAAATTTTAATATAAACTTGTCTCAACAAAGATTCTATCTAGAACTTTGATAGGAATTGTGTTAAACCTGTATATCAATTTGGGGAGGATTGACATCTTTACTATGTTGAGTCTTTTAAACCACGAACATGATTTGTCTTTCCACTTATTTAGGACTTATTTGATTTCTTGCATCAGCACTTGGTACTTTTCAGCATACAGATCCCGTATATGTTTTGTTAGATTTACACCTAGTGTTTTATTTTTCAAGAAATTGTAAATGGTTTTGTATTTTTTAACTCTGGTGTTCGCTTGTCCATTGCTAGTATATAGAAATACTTTTTTTTTTTTTTTTGGTATATTTACCTTGCATTCTGTCACCCTCCTGAACTCACTTATTAGTTCTAAGAGGTTTTTCTTTTTTTAATTATGCTTTGAGATTATCTGTACAGACAACCATGTCACCTGAAAACAGGGACGGTTTTATTTCTTTCTTTCCAATCTGTGTATCTTTTATTTCTTATTGTTGCCTTATTATACTGGCTATAATTTGTAATAGTAGGTTTAATAAGTGTGAAACAGACATCCTTGACTTGTTCTTGATCTTAGAGGGAAATCATGATACCTTTTGCCATTAAGTATAATGTTAGCTGTGAGTTTTTTGTAGATGCTTTTTAACAAGTTGAGGAAGTCATCCACTATTCCTATTTTTTTCTGAAAGAGGGTGTTTTTTGTCATGAATGGGTGTTGAATTTTTGTCAAATATTTTAATGCATCGATTGATATATCATGTGGTTTTTCTTCTTGAGTCTGTTTATGTGGTAGGTTACAGTGAATAATTTTCTAATGTTGAGCCAGCCTTGCATGCTTAGAATAAAGTGGGATTTTCCTTTTTCCCTTTTTCTTTTTTCTTTGTCAGAAACCTGTTGGCATTTCCGGATTGCTGGCTTTTCAAGTGCCTAGTCACAAACTCGGGGAACTCATCACCATGTTTGTCTGTGGGTCCCAAGGTCCCAGTTGCTCTGCCTTCTTCTCTGTACCTTTCAGGGACCAGTCTTTCCCAGTGATCAGTAATTTCTCTTGTACCAAAGACCCCTAAAGGCTAGGGTCTCTTTATGAATACTGTAAGCTAATATAATCATCTATGTAAAATAGGCAACTACAAACATTGGCCATTGTGATTTTGGTTTGTGGATTCCAGATGTCCAAAGGAAATAATAGTCTGAATACTTCACAGTTGATGTGAAAGAAAAATAAATCCTTATTTCTCCGTTTGATGATACATTCCAGTTTTTAAAGATTCATAAGACAGCCCAGAGTCTTTTCATACAGATGCTTAATAGTATGACATGGGCTTAAGACTTGGATTTGTGCTTTCTGATCAATATGGTGGTGTCAGACATGATAGCTAGGTACTTATAATTGCAAGAATCCAGTAGCCTTCTTCACACAGTAAGGAACTGACTCAGTCCATGAAATGATCTGCAAACTTTCCAAATAGAAAATTACTAACATGAGAAGGGGAGGAATAAATGTGCTGTCACAGTCCAGTTTTATTTACTGTGAACCGACTGCTTCCTCCGTAGTGGGTAATATGTATGCCTCAATGTATTCTGGGAGGCACGCTCCTAGGATATCTTGATGGGTAGTAAAAACACAGAGTCCCAGGGAAGAGCATTGCTAAATGGCATTAAAGTAGGGCCCTGGGGTGGAAAATTGAGCTGTGACATCTGACTAACAGGAAGATGGAGCGCTGTGAGAATTATTCACGGTGGGTCATAAAATGAAAAGGCCAGGATGCCCACAGAGCAGAGCAGCCCGCGAAGCTGGGGTGTGGTTTGCATACTGCTTCTCTAAATGACAGATTCTGGACATAAAAGCCTCCTAAAAACTTCCCACCCACCAGGGCCGCTTAGGCAAGTGCACAGATGATATTTAAGTGGTCAGACGACAGCATGCAGATCACGTGGATGACTGCAGCTGAGATGGAGCCAGGCTGTAGCCTGGATCACTCAACACATTTCACTTGGCTTTCAGGGGAGTGGTCTGTTATTTATCCATTTTTGGCATAAGACTTACATTTGTAAGTGATTTTCCAGCACCAGTATAAAAATACCTTTGCATGTGCTGAGTCTCTCTAAGGAAATGGCGAGAGGAAATCCCAGCATCATGCTGGGCTGGATACAGAGGGCAGAAGGGGTCCAACGTGGGCTGAGAATGAGCCATTGAGTGACAAGAACAATTGCCTAGTTCTGCTTGAACTGAGATTCTTACCTATAGGCAGAGGTTCTCAGACTCAGAGTATAGCAGAAGTAAAGCTTGTTTACAATGCAGATTCCTGGGCACCACACCCAGCAACACTGATTCAGAGTGTGCAATGGGGCCCAAAAACCTGCATTTCTCATGCATACCCCAGGTGTTTTGGAAGCAAGTGGTCTGGGGACTACATGAAAAAAAAAAAAAAACCTTCCCCCAAGAGTGTGTGGTTGTTGGTGGTAGAGATTCATGAAAAGAACTGTACAAAGAACCACATGCCTGAAAGCCCTGAAATGGTATAAAAAGTTGGGCATCCAGAGATGCCTGCGCATTTTCCAAAGGTGGGGATTTGCAGCTCTCCTTATATATCCAGAGGTATAAATGCCCCTCCCAAAGTGACAAACCATGATGGCATGTGCCTGTATGAAGCTAATGGTCAGATCTCAATATCCACAGGGGTGTTTAGAGTCTCTCTCCTTCCAGCCTCAGATTGCTCCCTGAAATCCATACAACATGTTTTTGGCACAGAGCACATTCTGGGTCTCTGTGACTCTATCTTCATTACTGGAAAAGTGATTCAAAGGGGACATCCTACTGAGGTTGCAGCTTGTCTCTGCAAACAAAGACAGCAGTGCAGTTATTAGCAAGCCAGCCACGCCAATGGCTTCCAAAGATACCAAGAGGATGAAGTTCTTCTGGGTGCTGGTTTTCCTCAGTCAGTGCCTGGGAAATGACTCTGGAGGTTGTCTAATCCTTTGGCTTCAGTTTCAGAGGCCCCTCCATGACTTTTTGGGCTCCCAGAACCTTCCTCTCCTGCTCCTTTAGCTGTGCAAAGCTGTGAATAATGGCCCAAGTTGCACAGGACGTCTTCATTGACCATACGAAC